TGTCACTTTGAGGGCCAAGCGAATGTTGTAGTGACCCACTTTGTCTCAACGACGAGAACTGTGGTAGACGAACGAACGATTGAACTCGAAAGCTTAACATAACTGCCTGTTATGCTTAACAACCATAACAAAAGGTTCAAGCTTACCACAAAACAGAAGGTGCATCACCGCCCTCTACCCAAATTAGACACACTGGACAACGTAACAAGAATTATATGTCTTACCAAAGAGTATAACACCAGGATCGAAGACGTTATAAGTCTCATCAGAGAATATAACGAAAGAATCAAAGACATCATCATATTGATAGAAGGCACGTCAAACCCACCTCCTACCTAAAGAAACCATGGCTGCTCAAAGAGAATCGAACCGTTGGACATTACGAGCACCAGCAGAAAGCTCAGACTCAGAACCCGAACCAAGAACCGACACCTTCACATCCGGTGAAGAAAAGTACGAAAGCACAGACGAGGGTAACAGTCCCCCTGCATCACAGACACCAGTAACAGGAACATTGACACCCGTATCAACCACAGAGAGATATAGACGAATAACAGGGCTAGGACCATTAATGTCACCCTTCAGCAGACGAACCACACCCAGATGATCACCAGCGATCACCAGAACACCCAGCAGAAGTGTACAGCCGCTACTTGGACCAATCATCCTGACACCTGCATTTACACCAATAGATTTAGGTATCACACCTACCGACGAAAGAACTCAAGCAGTTGAACAGTTTAACACATTCACGTTAAACCGGTACCCCGAGTCACCAGCAGTACCTGGAACTCCCAGACAAACCGACACACCAGTAGAACCCGAGAACCTGACAGAACCAAGACAAGAAATGGCCGATGCTGCCAACGCAAAAGGTGACCGATGCCGCACACCTAAAGATTTTGATGGAAATGAAGACAAGTACAAGACTTGGCTTAGAACGATACAGACCTACATGGAGGTCAACAATCACTTGTTCAGCACCAACAAGCGAAAGATCCAGTTCGCCCTCAGTTTTATGATCACAGGCAGAGCTGCCGACTAGGCAGAACATTTTACAGACACCCACACGAATACTGAAGGAGTATTCGTTATGACGTCCACATGGAAAGACTTTGTCAAATTATTGAACAAAACATTTGACATCAGAAAGACAAAAGACAAAGTGAGAGTAGACCTCTCAATCCTTAAACATAAACCCAGACAGCTCAAGCAGTACATCCTCGACTTTACCGCACTCACCAATCGAGCAGGATATGTTTTAACAGGAGACATGGAGAACCCGGTTCTCTCTCAGCTTTTCCTCAAACACTTGAATCCCTTGTTACAGGAAAAGATTGAAACACAGAAAGAACCACCTGAGACACTTAAAGCCATCACGGAAGATGCTAGGAAATTCGACAAGTCGTATTATAAGAATCAAGCATGGAAGACGAAAGTTATGGGATGGCAACCAACTAGAAGCATGCCTCGCCAACTCCCTCGATCATCCTATACTCCCAGACCTTGAGATCCAGACGCCATGGATATTGACAGATTAACTATCGAAGAACGAAACAAATATATGAAGAAAGGGAAATGTTTCTGATGTGGACAAACAGGGCACGTGTCTCGCGACCATGTGACCAATCCTGCCCTTAACACTGGAAAAGGAAGTACATCCAATTTTAGAAAACCTGCCACTCCCTATAAAGCTATCATGCCACCACCGAACAAGAATGCCAATGCCGCACAGAGAGTCTGTGCCATCATGGCAGGACTCAATGACGAAGAATTAGAAGAAGCAAAAGTTGCTTTTATAGAATCTTTGGATAAGGATCCAAATGAACCAGCCGAAGAAGAATCAGACAATGAAGACGAAAACAAGGGTTTTCAGTAAGAAGGCTAGCAACGACATCTAGACCTTCTAAACGACTTTCTATTAAAGCTCTTAGAATTCGAGGTGTACCTAACAACGATTTGAAATCAATGCGCCTTAACACAAGAATTATTAATGAAAAGAAAATCGTCAAAACAAAAGTGCTTATTGACAGTGGCGCTCAAGGAATTTTTATGGACGAACGATTCGCGAAGAAATACAGACTCCCGCTCTTGAGATTGGATAAGGAGATCCAAGTCTCAAACATAGACAAAAGCCTGAACAAGAATGGACCCATTAGGTTTTATACCCAACTCCTGACAAAAATTGATGGAAAAGTAAATTCCACTCAATTTCTAATTTCCAACCTAGGAAAAGAAGACATAATCCTTGGATTACCATGGTTAGACAGAATTAACCCCAAAGTAGACTGGACAAAGAAGACCATCAAGATTATCTCAGACAGGATAAAGAAACCAAACATATGACAAGCTGTCAACCGAGAAGTTCAGATTCTGAGATGTAACAAAGTGGGAAATTCTGAATGACTGCAACCTACTGAAAGCAATTCACAACTTGAGGAAGAGATATTTTCAACACTGGATCTCCCTGCTATTGTTATGAGCTTCATAAAGTTTCTGAGCTAAATTTTTTTATATCCTCCTTTAAAAGGTAGATTTGAACTTGTTCTCCATTTTCTGTATTTTCCACTCATATATTTGTTGGAATAAGGGTAAATAACTCCCCATCAATGTTTGTAGTGTATGTAATACAAAGCTAGGTAGAAATATCAAAATGAACATTGCATGATGTCTGTAGAAGCTAATCCCCAGAATTTTTCTGAAAGTAAACAAGTATCTACAACATTGGTCCTTCTTTTCTGCAAGAAGAAAAAATGCTACCATTCTTTTGAATTGATCCATGGAGACTCAGGATGTCTTTTAAACAATGCCTGAGATATAGCATGATAGCAAATAAATTTACACTGGGTATAACCTGAAAAGTCCTCAATAAAAGTACACTTTACATAGAGCAACCATCCTGGGCCAAC